CCAGCATGACTGCATGGAGCGCTGTTACCTTCCCACCAAAGCGATACCTATTGATCTACTCACATCTGCATTTTTTTGAACTGCTAGGTTGGCAGAAGGGCTGACAGCAGAAGTTCACGCTGCTCCCCGGATTCGAACCTGCAACCTTTCGGTCAACAAGTTTAACAGCTCAACGGTTTAACCCACTACGCCACCAGGAACAAGTCCAAGGAACAAGTATATAACTATGGTCCACAATACGCATTGAAGTCTCATTCAATACTGAAAGAAATTAAGATTCTCTTTCTCTCTGAATCTTTTATTCAGGACAAATGGGTGCATATCTATATTAATTTTATAGGTGCCATTTTCAGCACCTTTTGTAAAATGCAAATGAGAAATAAATCGATATATGGATAAATAAATAATCTCACCCAAAAGCACATTAAGGTGAGAATCCCATGCCAATGTATTGGGAAGGTCCATTGAAGACATTGATGCCAATTTCCACTCCACCTATTCTAATGGCTTGGCCACTAACATCAAAATCTAAGAGCCCTTCCACACAGCCCTATATCCCAGAATATCAGGGCAGAAAATCCCACAATATCTGTTTTGAAATGGGTTATCTGAGTCCACCCTGCCATATATTCCAGTTCAAAGCAGAAATGTGAGATTTTATTCAGCTGTGTGGAAGGAGCCTCAGTTACATTGATTTAGCCTCACCTAATCTCCATCCTATCCCTGCTCAACAAAAGTATATTTGAAATAAAAGGTCTTTTGCTGCTTCTGGAATCACACTGACATAAGCTTTGGCACATGTTCAGGGAAAAGAATTCCAGAGAAGGAGGGAAAAATATATATTTCTTTCTCATCTCCTCAGAAATTCTGTATTCTCAACCAAATCTGTTCTCTTTGATAAACTGCATGTTAAATAAAATGTCCAATTCATACAGTTTCGGTTTGTGAGTAATCTACACAAAGAAATCGCAATCAGACTTGTGTAACAGTTAGTCATTCATTTTTTAATTTCATGTAAGAAAATATGTAATACAGTATATTCTCCTACATCAATGGTTCCCAACCTGTGGTCCATGGACCACCAGTGGTCCGCAAGAACGAAAATCTGGTCCACAGCCTTACCATTACTACACCCTTGCCTTGAAACCATGCAGCATCAAGACTGACTGGTCTCACAAAACCCTCATATAGTGCTTATAGAGAAACAGCACTCACAACAGAGACCTGGAGTCACTTATGAGATTTATATAGCTTTTCTGAAATGTCATCAGTCAATGTTTTGAATCTCAAGGTCTCTGTCGTGAGTACCGTTTCTCCCCCAAAAGGTTGGGTTTGGTTCCCTCAAAGGGCCCCGAGGAGGATGGCGAGGCCCAGAGTCGAGGGAGAAACTCTGCTCTTTCCCAAAGGGGCAGGTGGGGGGGGGGGGCAGGAGGGATGACTGGCTGGATGGCCGGGCATGGAATAATAATAAATAATAATAAACTTTATTTATACCTCGCCACCATCTCCCCAAGGGGGACTCAGGGCGGCTAAAACGAGGCAAAGCCCAACGATACAACATAGCAAAATAAAATACAATATGCAAACAACAAAAATCACATCACAATAAAATACACACAGTAGTAAAATAGAGCAGACAAAGCAAAGTAACCTAATATAAAATTGAACACAATGGACAGGCCAAATGGACAATGTAAAATGATAAATACAAGAAGTGTATTTGGGAGGAGCCCAAAAGGATGAACAGTGGGGTTAGGCTTTCAGTGTAGGATGGGGGGGGGGGGGAATGCATCATAGGGGCAGCACTGTAGATGGAACAAACAGAAATGGGATAGATGGTCATTCTCCAAAGGCACTTTGGAAAAGCCAAGTTTTCAGATCTTTCTGAAAGGCTGCTAAGGTGGGGGCTTGCCTAATTTCACCAGGAAGTGAGTTCCAAAGTTGGTGGGCCACAGCAGAGAAAACTTTCTCCCTCGTTCCCACAAGTCATGTCTATGAGAGAGGAGGGCCTCCCCAGAGGATAGGAGGGATTGTGCAGGTTGGTGGTAGGACATGCAGTCATGGAGGTAGGCAGGTCCCAAACCATTCAGGGCTTTATAGGTAATAACCTGCACCTTGAATTGGAACCGGAAGATGAATGGCAGCCAATAGAAGAAGTCCCTTGGGCACACGGCTAGCCCAGAGAGAAACAGGTAGGGACCACACTCACTTTGAGACTTTAACATGGGCAGCCCTGGTATTCTGAAGCAAGCAGAATTCTGGGAAATGTAGTTTAGGGTGGGGCCCTTTGAATTCTCTGCCATAGGAGTCCTTACCTTCCCAAACTACATTTCCCAGGTTTTTTTTTTCCATGGGCGCGCTTCACGTTTCTTAATATTGTGTTGTATGTATGAATCTTATGAAATAGATATTGACAAATGAGGCACAAATGAGGTTTTGCACAACCCTACCATTTAAGGCAGCAACAGATTGGATAATCCAAATATAAGTAAAATATAAAAACTCTCTAATCCATGTATGAAGAATGTTGTATATCATTTCCTTAGCAAGTTGGAGAGCAGCAAGATCAGTGACAGTGATCAGACTCTTCACCAGCAAAATAAATCAGTATTTTGTCTCAGAGCAGACTGAGATTCACCCTACTCATAACGGACCAGGATGAAATTGTATGCAATCAATCAGTGATGCCTTTATTACAGTCAACAGACCATAAGGCAATGCAATAGTTATATATAGATCTTACACGCATGTAGAAAGAATTGCGTACACACTATATTGGGAAACATAAACATGTGCCATGTTGGGGCGGTATGAAAGGATATAGTTAACAACATGGAAAGACATTGGAAAAACAACTTAATAAAATATGTTTAAAGTTGAGCATTAAACAGATACAATGAAAACCAAATAATTATATGGATTAAATGTAAAATTAAAGCTACACAGCCATATTACCAGGAAGCAAGAATTGCTCCTGGAGCTATGATCCCCATATAACACCTGGCTAGTTTGGTCCATTAAGGAATCCTTAAATTGTATCCCTAGCCGCACCTTGCCCAAATTCAAATTTCCTCTGATACACACACGCCGTTAAATCAATGGTGAGAAGATTGAGCAAGCTACCAACTCACTGTTGATCACAGGTGCTTAGTTGTGGTTAAAACCTTTGACCATTTAGCCAATGCGGCTCTGCCATAGAAGTGCTTGACGGCAGCAGCCGTGGCCCCAAGAAGAAAGAAACCCCAAGCCCCAAGGAGAAAGAATTTCGAAACACTTATTTTTTTCTTATTGATGGTACAGGGAATAATCTACCTTCTCCCCACTGAGTTCATGGCTGGACTTGGCTGGGGAGCAGATGGCAATCCCAAAGAGAGGGAGAAAAAAAAGTCTTCCCAGCCAAGCACCACTTTTTTGATTCCCTTGTTCTCAGGGCTGCCATCCATTCTCCAGCTGAGCCCAGCCATGAGATCAACACCACTCTTTATTTTAAAAATAATAAATTAGATCAACCTTGTTAATTTTAAACGGCCACACCAGCAAGTTAATTTTAAACATCTACCACCCTTTTCTACCCCCCGCCTTCTGATGCTACCTCAATTCAGGTAGGCAGTGCCAGATTTACTATTGTGCTTAGGTATGATTAAGCACAGGGCCCTCTTGGCCGAGAGGAGCCATCTTGCCCCCTTGGTCAGGAAAAAAATGGATGGACACACTATCCTGGAACATATATAATTTTTTTGCCATGTAATGCAGGTACATCTGCAGTTCCAAAATATATCTACCATGTCCTATAATATATTCAATATCAAGGACTCTGGGACCATAGGCTGGCTATGAAACTTCCTAATGTCTGTGTGCTCACTCTAACTTTTGCTTTCACTTCTCTGTAAAGGGTAAACAAATGCAACACAAAGTGAACAGGAATAATGGAAGTGTATGAGTTATGCAAATCAAACTAGAAAACTCTTCTAGAAACCAATAAAATTAAAAATATGTAAAAATATGATTGCCTTTCAGTACAATCCCTTATTTGCATACCCAGAAAGAAATTCCATTAAGTTCAGTGGACATCAGTTTTAATAGTCTTAAACAAAATTTTGCAAAGTCACAGAAAGAGTAATGGAGCCGCAGTGGCGCAATGGGTTAAACACTTGTGCTGGCTGAACTGCTGACCTGAAGGTTGGGTTGCTAACGTGAAGGTTGCTGGTTCAAATCCACAAGATGGGGTGAGCTCCCATATGTCAGCTCTAGCTTGTAGGGACATGAGAGAAGCCTCCTAGCTAACACAATCCCAGCATTCCCTGGGCAACATCTCTGTAGAAGGCCAATTCTCTTACACCAGAAACAACTTGCAGTATCTTCTCGAGTCTCTTCTGACATAATAAAAAAATTATAATAATACCAAATGCTTAATGTGTATTTTAATATGTACTTTGTAGAAATATGTTTAAATATGTGTGTCTTGAAGAATGGTTTTAGATGATTGTGTTTTAGCAACGTTGTAACCTGCCTTGAGACATGGGGAGAGGCGGGTAAGAAATACAATTATTATTATTATTATTATTATTATTATTATTATTATTATTTGAAAAAGAGAAGCGCTGCCAGAAAGCAAGAGCTTATAGAGTTTATATATTAGAATATTTTCCTTACAACCCATGGTATGGCTGCAAATCATGAAAGAATAACATTCTAACATCTTCAATAACACTGTTCATTTTTATGCACTAAAACAGAATTAGGCAACAGAGATATATATTTTGTTGCCTAATTTTTTGTTACAAATCAGAGTTTAACATTTGGACAGTGGTAACATAAAATCTTTGTGTCAAAAGGCTGGCAAAGGCTCTTTGAAAGCTTTCTTGAAGTACAAAGATAATAATAGCTGAGAGGATGCATAAAAGAGCAGAGGAATTTATGTGAGCAAAGAAGCACACAGAAGGAGAGACAGAAAGACAGATTCACGCACACTACAGCATTAGGCTTGGGCTTTATACAACCTGTGGTGGAGTCCTCATTGTTTCACTGTGGAGTTCCTTGTAAAACTTCTGCTCTTGTTGGTTCTTTCTCCTGTCCACCTTCTTCTCATGCAGAGAATATAGTTTCAGATCAAAGACAAAGCCTTTTCTTCCAGCCTAACTGAAGGCACTAAAGAGGAGTGGCAGAGAGGATGGTCAAAATAACATCCTTCAAGAAAACAGAACTTCGGAGCTACTCCACCCACCCTCTTCCTTTAACACTAGAATATACACTTCACACATCCCTAGAATGGAATGACCATATTAATTATCTTTTAAGGCAAAGTAAACTAGTGTTGGGAGTCTGCAATCTCTCTCTCCCTCTCCCTCTCTCTCTCTCTCTCCCTCCCTCCCTTCCTTCCTTCCTTCCTTCCTCTCTTTCCTTCCTTCCTCTCTTTCCTTCTTTCCTCCCTTTCCTTCATGTCTCTCTTTCCTTCCCAGGCGCACCCCTTTTGTCATATCTTTTGAGTTAAGGATCTTTGACATTTGTTCCCCAGATACCCCATGGCTTACACTATTTTTCTTCGGTTGCTGTTCTGCCCACCTCACCATAACTTCAACAGTCTGTTCTGGTCTGTCCTTGATATATTTTCTGTACATCACCTGTTTCAACCTGCTATAGTGAGGCCCTGAGGCTTCTGCTAATGAAGATCGAAATAACATGAGCCCTGGATTCCATTGCTACTTCTGTTCCCACCTTCCCTAGAAGCAATGGAATTTTTTACATGTTTCTGCTAATGATATTCTCACAGGATTTTTTTTTTTTTTGAAAGCAGAAAATGTAGCACTCAATGGTAGGAGATGGGGGGGGGGAGTCTTGAGGGTCAAACTACACGTTACACTGTAATATTGGCTGAATGGGTTTCTTCCATTTCGAGACATTCTTGGGATGGAGGTTTTGCAGCAGAGAAAGCCGGTGCTTAATCCTTCTTATGTCAACTGCTTTAATCCTTAACATGTCTGTTCATATTTCTTCTGGTACTCTTGAGTAATGTTTGAATCTTATGGGGAGGAAATTTCAAAGGGAACACAACTAGGAGTGAGAAGGTTGTCTTGCTTGTTCTCCTCTCTTCCCTGTTAAAAGTGTCCCCTGTTAAAAGTTGCTTGCAATGGAGGAGGCATAACAGAAATATGATTACATATTGCATATGATGTGAGGATGCAGAATTTCTTGTGATTCTGCTTCTGTGCATTTGTTGCTTGCTAGCCAAATGGACTTAAGCCAAACCCATCATTTGAGTTCTTTCTCCTGTCCACCTTTTTCTCATGCCCCAGTTTTTTGCTATCCACTTCGGGTGATCGTTGTCCCTAATTTGATTTTGCTGTCAATTTTGTTCAGAAAAGTGTCCAACATGAGTTCCAGTCTTCACATTTTAACTTTCTCTCTGGTAACTCTAGAAAGTAAGAGCCCTTCCAGACAGGCCCTTTGTCCCAGGATCCCAGCTTTTCTGTTTATCCCAGATTATGTGGCAATGYGGACTCATATAGTCCAGCTTAAAGCAGAAAACCTGGGATCAGATCCTGGGATATAGAACCTGTCTGGAAGAGCCTTAAATAAAATAATATCTCTTATCTCCAATTTATATGAAAATTGCACAACCTTTCAAGTATTGGCGAGATTCACTTGAAAATACAGACATTCCTTAGTTAACAAATTATTATTATTATTATTATTATTATTATTATTATTATTATTATTATTATTCTGAACTTGCTGACCAAAAGGTTGCAGGTTTGAATCCGTGGAGGGTGTCTGCTCCTGCTGTTAGCCCYAGCTTCTGCCAACCTAGCATTTCRAAAACATGCAAATATGAGTAGATCAATAGGTACCACTCCAGCGGGAAGGTAATGGTGCTCCATGCAGTCATGCCGGCCACATGACCTTGGAGGTGTCTACGGACAATGACGGCTCTTCAGCTTAGAAATGTAGATGAGCACCAACCTCCAAAGTCGGACACGACTGGACTTAATGTCAGGGGAAAACCTTTACCTTTATTACTATTATTGTATTGTCGAAGGCTTTCATGGCCGGAATCACTGGGTTGTTTTAGGTTTTTTCCGGCTCTATGGCCATGGTCTAGAGGCATTCAGGAGAGAATGCTTCTAGACCATGGCCATATAGCCCGAAAAAACCTACAACAACCCATTACTATTGTTGTTGTTGTTGTTGTTGTTGTTATTTCTACCCTGCTTTTTCTCTCTAACAGCAAATAACAATAAAAACAATACAATATAATTTAAAACCTAAAAATACCATACAAACATTAAAATAGAATTAAACACAGAAATATCAAAACACATAGTTAAAACCAATAAAAACATTAAATAAATCTATTAAAATATATAAAACACAGCACACCCTGGTTTGGCCTTTAAAACTTGTCGATTAAAAAGGTCTGACAACCTCATCACATGGACACCTCCCTTATGCCATTTCACCAGCCTCTGTGGCAAAATGGCAGAGACACTTCCCACATCACAAGAAAGAAGTGGCTTCCGAGAGGCTACGTTTCCCCCATCACACTGGGAAAGTGGAGACAGCACAAGACAGAAGCCTTCTCCTGTTAGGGGAGAAGCATCCTTCGACACTCCCACTCCAGTTGATGGTGGGACTTCAATAGGAAGTCCAGTGACATCATGCGATGGGCAACAACAGATACAGAAAATAATATAATCAATATATAATAGACAACAATAAACAATTATCACTTAATACAATCAAAATAACATAATAATATAAACATTAAAAGCTATTTGCCAACTAAAAACAATATATATAAACACTGTTTAAACCTAGCATCCTAGAACGATAAAAACGTGTGATGAGGCCCTTAGTCTGTTGCCGAAAACACAGCAGGAAAGAGGGCAATTGGCTTTCCTGGCCAGGGAGTTCCTCTAACAAAAAGGATCCCCTTTAAAAAGTCTTTTTCTACCCACCAAGTCCCTCCTTTTCCTCTAATTCCTCTAACAGGAGGCTTTTTAAACAACATCAGTGCTGGGACGATAGCAAAGGTGGAAAAGCACAGTCATTCAAGACCTGATTCCTGTAGCATCTCTGAAATTAAGCTTGAGCAAAGAATGAAAGGAATTATTTTGCTGACTTTACAACTAGCTGTGTATGCCTTTCTACAATAGACAAGATAAACAGCAACTGAATCCCTTACTGAACAGCCAAAACAGGGAAAGAAAGGGAAAGCAAGCACATTAGCATGCTTCACCAGCTACACTCAGCATGGTTTTTTAAAAAAATCTGCAAATCTAGCCATGAAAACCAAATTCATGAGAAAGGTAGAGGCTGGTGAAAAGGAAAAAAATGCTTGAAATGTTCGACTATTTTATTTACTTGTACAAGTCTTACCTATGCTAGTTTCACATGGGCATATGGTAGGTTTTGAACAACATGCTAAAAATATGCTGAACTGATTTTTTGTTTTTTGGTGTAGGAACCTAGCACCCTTTCCCCCATTTTTTTAACCTCTGGTATCAATATTTCTGTTAAAAATGTGATACCCAGGAATAGATCTATTTCATTAACTGAGGTATAACTGTACTTATAATACAACATAAGAGCATTTGGTTCATCTAAACATTAAAAGAAATGTTCTCCTGGTTTTTTTTAACAGTATAGAGTACATAAAAATAGTATCACTCCATATGATGTGCCAAATAGCTTGGACCTGAGCCAAATAGGATTTTATAGATCATAACCAACGCTTTGAATTGTGCCCAGAAAGAATGGAGCTGTTTCAATAAGAGAGTTGAATAATCCCTGTATCCAGCCACAGTTAATAATCTGGCAGCAGCTCTCTCTGGACCAGCTGAAGTTTCTAAATACTCTTCAAAGGCAGCCCCAACTAGAGCAGATTACAGTCATCCAAATAGGATGTAACTAAGGTGTGTATCATTATGGCCAGATTCAGCATCTAAAGAAAAGTGTGCAATTGGCACTCAAGCTTTAAATCCACAAAGGCACTCCTGGCTACCACAGAAACCTGGGACTCCAGATTCAATGCTGAATCTAGGAGTTCACCCAAACTGTGGTCCTGTGTCTTTAGGAGGAATGTAACCTCATATAACGCAGGCAGAATTCCTAGTTCCTGATCTATTCTCCAACTGATGAGAAGCATTGCTGCCTTGTCTGGATTTTGTTTCAATTTGTTTCTCCCCATCTAGTCTGTCACTGATAATAGAGACTGGTTTAAGACCGGGGTGGAAAGGAGTAGTGGAGTGTAATCTGCATAAATTTGGATGACCTCTCCTTACAGTTTCATGTATATGTTAAGTAGCATGGGGGACAAAACAGAGCCCTAAGGGACCTGACAAATGAACGGCCAGAGGGTTGAACAGGAATCCTCTAGCATCACCTTCTGGATTCACCCTTCCAGGAAGTGCTTTTTTAACAGAACCAGTAAAGCAGGCCCCATCTACGCTGCCATATAATGCAGCAAGACTCATATAATTCAGTTCAATGCAACTAAAATGCATTATGAAATTACATTGTACAGCAGTGTAGATGGGCCCACGGTGCCTCCAAGTCCTAGTTGGCTCAGAAGGATACCATAGTCAACGGTACTGAAAGATGCTGAGAAATCCAGAAACATTAACAGGGTCAAACTTCTCTTGTCCAGGTCCATATCCATGCCTGAAACCAGATTGAAATGCATCTAGAGATAATCAATTTAATCCAAAAACTTCTGGAGTTGGGAGGCTACTACATGCTCCAATAGCTTTCCCAAAAATGGAAAGTAAAGCAGTGATGGATAATTGCCCATTATAGATGGGTTCAGGGAGGGCTTTTTCAACATAGGCTTCACAACTGCTTCCTTTAGGCAAGTTGGAATTCTGCTTTATTGTAAGGAGGCATTGACAACATGCTTCACTCAGACAGTCAGTCCCTCTCTAAGGCAGAAAGAGGAAAGATCTCAAATGTTGTAGTTCTTAACCAGAATCCTGTCCACATCTTCAGACTCCACAAATTGAAAAGTATCCAAAAACTCTGAACAAAGATGAGCCATGGTTGATTACACCCAATGGGATTGTATCAGCTACAGCATCTAAGTCACAGAGGATCTGAGAATCCTTATTTGCAAAGTGCCGCACAAATTCTTCAGAGCGGGCTGTTGAATGGTCAACATTTTCTACTTGAGGCCAGTGTTTAATAATTCTCTGATCACTCAAAATAACTCTGTTGGGCTGCTCCTTACAGATGCCATGGTGGCAGCAAAATATAATTTCTTTGCTGCTCACATTGCCACTGAGTAGACATTCGAATAAACTTTAGCCAGTGTTCTGTCAGACTCACCCTCATCTCCATCTTGTTTGCCAAATCTCTGGAGGGGATGGTCTGGGGCAATTTTATCCACTGCCCCGGCCATTGACCTATTACAGAGGTCACTCGGAGTTTTAACAGAATTGCCTGCCAAAGTCACAGAAAAATTCTCAGGAGCCAGCAGCAACCCATCTGGATCCATCAGGCTCCTGGGATGGACCACTCCTGAAGACATTCCAAGTCCCAGTGCATCTGAACCTGACCAGGTAATGATCTGTCCACGACAATGGAACTGTGGAGAGTTTCACCACATCACAATTACTATAATCCTATCCACCACTGAAAATAAGGTCTAGAGTTTTGTCAGCAGCATGAGTAAGACCAGGTACCATTTGGGACAGACCCATAGTTGTCATAGAGT